AATCATTAGCAACTGCTCCATTCCAATAATACAAATCATTTCGTCTTTCATTCTTGAACAATTTTTTTTTTCGTTCCTTCTGATTGCCAATTTCTTTGTTAAACATTTGAGCTTCTTATTTGTAAACTATTAAAATTCATACTGGACTGACAGTGATCGGCTTGAGAAGCGCTATTCGAATAGTTTGAACTTGAAAATTGGGCCAGGGTGGGAAATTCTAGGAAAAAATCGAATAAAATTTTCTTACAGTTTAATTAATATTTTTTTTTCAATAAAATCTTGAATTAATAAACTTTTGACATGAGAGGGGTTAATTCATAAATGAGAGGAGTGTCATAAAATAATTTTATGCATACCGTAACGGATCTTTCAAATCACCCTATTCACAAAACATTAATTTTTGCTTTCCTAAACTTTAAGTGAGCTTATGCAGTCACAATCAAGAATTGTAAATCATTTATGAATGAACCCCAAATAATTTTTCATTGATTTTCCCAGTTTTCTTCTACTCAATGATCCCAGATTACATCCAAGAGCCAATCGAAATACTTAAATCGTGTAATTATAAAGTGCTAAGTAGTTGTTCATAAAGAGCTTCTAAGGGGCTATAAAAGTCACTTTTAATACACTCAATAAATTATTCCCTGTAGTTTTTCTTCTCCTTCGTTTCTTTTATGAAAATAATTTATACATTTGCAATACATTTTACAACTTATTTTTACTCTTTTCTTTACTGTTTTTTTTTTACGCAAATTAAGTCGATAATTGTATTATAATTTTATGGCTTTTTGTGTGAGGAATTTTAAACTGATTATGGACCTTATGGTGGAATTTTTGTTTTGTTGTCGCTTTCGGAATTCTCGAATTTTGAAAACATTTTAATTATTCTGATGTCATTAAATTCAGATTGAGGCTGGAGCGGTATTGCAATTTTAATGTTGATTTAATTATTGGATGTTTAAAATTGTAGATTGAATTAATGAAAGGGATGGACCTAATCTTATGGAATTAATCCTGAGAGCATTGGTCTAAGCAAATAGTTGCACATCTGTATAATGCTTTAGACACATTTCTGAATTTTATATGCTTTTCAAAGATATTTTAATAAGTAGAACCACCAGTCCTTAGTATGGCATCTGCTTGTTTAGTGATAGTTCTGTCTATAGCCTCTAAAATAAGCAAGAGAAACTGCATTTCAATGGATTAGAATTGGCCAATTCAGTTCTCTCCTTTTGTGCGACATACCTAGATTTCTTGTTCAAATTAGTCGATTTAATCTGATGAGTTTCGAACTTAGATCTTAAAGGAGTTAAATAAAATTAATCTATCCTTTAGTTTATGAGCTTATATTTCTCATGTAGGTCTACTAATTATATCGCAAAATGCAAATTTGAATAATATCTCACATTGATGACATCAACAGCTGTTAAATCAAGTTAAGTTGTCCATGATTAATACAATCATCATTACTCATTAGCAACAATATTTAATTTAAAGTGAAAATTCAAATTATTCAATAATTCAATAGACTTTATTAACTCATTCCTCGAATCACAGCTAAATCTTAAACAAACATCAATCAAGTATCAATAAAAAGTTAGTACTTTATAAAAATTAATATGACTCCTATAAACAATTTGACGGGTTCTTTTATTCAATCAATTATCTTTTCAATTAAAAATTAAGATCAAAGTTTTTAATGGATTAATCAAATCACTCCAACATAGACATTAGTAAATATATAGCCATACCAGACAAAAAATAGCATGCATGTTCTCCAATGCAAATAAATAATAATTTTCCCAAACGACCAAGTTTATTTTTTATGAGAGAAAAAAATGAAAAACTAAAAACATGTTTGTTATTAAAAAATAACTCTGACGAAAAATCTCGTATGAATTATGATGGGAAAATCTCTTCTCATTTTATTCCGTCCTTACAATTTTGAATGAATTTATGATGCCAGAAATTAATCAAAAAGATGAAACAAAAATAAAAGCTGTACAAATTTTCATGGGCAGCAAATGAAATAAATTTTTCTTCAGAAATTAAAATAAGAAAGATTTTCGCTTTCGTTTGTCACAATAAGTAGTGATGGGACTAAATGTGGTCTCCGAGTTGAAATAATTATATTTTTATTTGAGCATATGAATGTTATTTATAGACTTTATGATGATATTTTGTATGAATTTAATTCATCTTTCTATCGACACATTTATTCCAGTGTCACTTCGTGCTCTCTTAAACTGTCAGCATGGTTTTTCTGTAAAATTAGCAAATAGTCTATTTTTGTTGAAATGTGTTGGAATTAGAGCGCATTTTTGATGATTTACGTTGAATTGTTTGGTCAAAAGGCATAATGACAGGGTATATTTTTTAAAAAAATAAATAGAGGACTTGAAAATAAAATAGAGGACATCCCACGTGTCTACCAATTTAATTTGTTTTCTGGACGAATTAGAACAACACAAAACTTTTTTATTTTTGTAAAATAAAAAAAAAAGATGTCCTTTGAAAAACGAAGCAGATAATGGACCAACCAACATAATTGTGTTGTTGTAGATAAAGCTATGGATGTGTAGTTTTAAAAGGAAAGCTTGAGGGATATGAAAGAGTACAGACTTTCCTAGTTGGCAATATGCTCATTCGATACATAAATGCTGCAACATCAATGCAAAGTAATCGCAGGTTAGAAACTAGCTAGTCAAATTTTAAAGTTTTTGGAACATATTTACGAAAATCGTGGCTTTAAGCCTGATTTGTAGTCTCTGGAAAGCGAAATTGTTTATAAAACTGCCCACTAAAGCTTATTTGCTGAATTTTGGTGAGCCCTCATTAGTCAGGAGCTAATAGCCACACTGGATTCTAATTTTGTTTGGACGATAAAATAGGTTAGGATTTAAGAATCTGAAACGCTAGGGAATTCACGATGTATTTTCATTTTAAGAGGGGATGTCTAAAAGAGACATAACCAGAGCGTCAAATTCATTTATGCTATGCTATTTCACGAAAAAAATTCAAACCTTCACCTATTTTGGGTCATAAAATAATAGCCCAATCCTTAGTGTCACCTAAAAATACCCTAGACACACCTTTTTCACCCAGTCACTAATCAAAATGAACCTATCAACAGCTTAAAGATATTCTTACTTGATATTACAATAAAATAATCTCAAATATTACAGAAGATTTATCGTTCAGCTCAAACCATACATAACATTTAAGAAACTCATAAGAGAGCAATCTTCTCTGTTTTTTCCCCAACGGAGCGAAATTAAATTTTAAATCGCAATTTTAAAAATAAAAATTTTCATACATATTAAATCAATAAAACAAAAAGAAATATCTTTTTACGATTCCAAGTGATGCCAAGTAAACGATTAACATTCTGCCACACACTCCATTTGAAAAATAAATTTCCTTCTTCTTATTTTTATGACAATGGATGAAAAGCATCTTATAGTGTTTCATTTTTCACGGTCATTTTATGAAATCTGTTTTTTTTTGTTTCCAGCAAAATGTGAAGTTATTATTATTAAGAAACTATGCAAAAAAAATGAATATGAAATTGTGTCATAAAATATAATAGATCTATGTAAAAGATGCCATATAAACATATAACTAGCCAGTATTATCATTAAATCATTTGAAGCATGCTAATTTTAACGAAGTGATAAACATAAAAAAAGAGTCCTATTAGGCACATAAAATGTAACAAGTCAACGAAAGCACCAAAGAAAAATAATAATAAATTAAATTAAATTAAATCAAATAAAAGAAGATAAATTGTGATAAAAAGTAACACAAAACATACGAAAAAAAAATGTTAGATTGTCCACTGAAGGACGTTGAGGCGTTGAACAGTCCCATGCGATATTCCTGCATTAAAGTATTAAACTTATATTGTAAGATCTTCAATCAGCAAGAGATTTTCGATTTGATTGTGAGGTAACTGTTCAAAGCAATCATCAATATGTTCATACTTTCCATTAGCACGTTCAGAGTTGTGGTGCAGGCATATGTGTCATTTGGTGTGTGGATTATGGAAACCAGCTGTATATTACATTTATTGAATTGTTTTTTAAACAAACGGAATGATCAGAAGAGTAAATGACAGATTTACAGACATTCTTTGGATACCACAATTGCCTGAGGTGTCGTTCATTAATGATGTCTGATTTTTGGTATGGTCTGAAGACGGTTTTTCAGTTTTGTGATGACTAGACAGTAAAATTGAACTTTGAGTCCAGTTTCTCTGAGAATTGGCTTTTGGGAAGTTGATGCTGTGAAGTCATTCCAAAACTGGGCTTATCAAACTCTAGACGTCATCTGTGAACAACCCCCAAAACAACTCTGATAAATTTTTATTGTTTTCATTTCTTTTCTGACTTCATTTATATTTCTATTCCTTCACTTCTTTTTTAATTGTTGACCTTCAACTCTTAACACTTGTAGTCATGGCTTTTGTGCTTAAAACAAATTAATACAAATGTCAGTTATCAAATCATGTGAAGACAATGAAATTTAGTGATCGAATTGTGTGAGCGAAGGCAGTCATCAATACAAAAGCTAACATTTAACCTAAAGCTCTCTTTTTATTACACATTTATCTTTTGTTACCCTTTAGTGAATTTAGTTAAATGGCTTTTTTTAATCAGCATATAGCCACGCGCTCAGCCAAACCCATGCCCATTTTTATTGATTTTTGTTGCTCTTTTCTATGCAAAAAAAAGTTTTTTTGTTCTTTTTTGGACTGAAAATTAGGTAGTCAAATAGATTCCATTTGGTCATCATTGGCTGGATTGCCAAAAAAAAAGGAGGAGAAAAACTTAATTTCCGCTTTTTCTTGCATGATAGCGCACAAAATGTCTATTTTTGTTTCACATCATTTTCATTTTTATTAGACACACATTATCTATTCACAATTTGTGACATATAATCTTGATAAATAATGGAATTAAATGTAAATTTTCCACTTTCTATCCAATATGCTTTTATAGGAAGACATGTCAGGCTTGCAAATGTCCACGAGAGAATCATGAGATATATCATGAACAATTGCAGAATGTTAAAGAGAGGCTGGGATTTAAAATTGACTCGAAGACATCACAGATTGATGCTAAGAAACTTGGCTATACATGGACACCGCCAGGGGTACGGAACTGAATCGTTCAACATCCTTAAAACTTTTTAATTCTATTCTTTCTAATTAGATCTTAACATCCAGCAAAATACAGCGTTATTTTGACTTATTGCCTCAGGAAAAAGTGCCTAAAATTGGCTCGACAGGCGAAAAGTACCGAGACAAGCAGCTCTCGTGTCAATTGCCACGTCAAGACCTTACAATCAATTATTGCAAGCATGTCGATGCTGAAAATCGAGCTTCCTATGATGATTTTATCTCTGCTAGAAATGAATTAGCTCTCGACGTTGGATTTGTGAGAGATGCATCGACATCTGGAAAGTGTTCAACATGCACTGAAGTTATCAATCAGGGTGAGATGTGTGTTAATGCACCAAAATTGAGTGATGAAGTGAGTGACATGAGAAATTAGATTTTATAGACACATGAACCCATAAAAACTTTTTAATTAATTTATTTGTGCGTAATCAAAATTTTTTCTTTTTTTTCTCGTCATTAAGTTGAATTTCCATCCGCGCTGCTTCAAATGTGAATCGTGTGATGAGTTACTCGTCGATTTAACATATTGTGTGCATGAAGGAAAATTATATTGCGAGAGGCACTATGCTGAAAATTTAAAACCGCGATGTCATTCGTGTGATGAGGTGAGTGTATTACTATTTGCATATGTTTTAGGAGTTGGCACAAAAAATATTGTATGCCGGCATGGAAAATTGTTTTATATTTGCTTGCTCTAATTTTTCTAGTTCCTGTCCTAAACGATAGGATCTGAAAATACTGTTTTATTGTTCTTACCTCATAATATTTGTTATTGTTAAATCATCAAATTGATTGTATGATGAAATGGGTGCGTTGAGCGGAAATTTCATTTATTATTGGTGGGAAAAAGTTTAAAAAGCGGCTGTAATTCAAGTCATGGTATCATATAACATTTAGTTTGAGAATTACAAGCGCATTTTTTGTTTATTTTTAATGGCATTCATAATTGAAGATTTACGCTAGTTTTCGGGTATGAATTTAGTGTGGATGGTTTTTAAGTCTACTCCTTTGAGCAGGATTGACTCAAAACTTCATAAGTGTCTCTAAAATCAATTATATTTCCTGGTAACTCAAAAGTTTCATCTTATTATTATTATTTATTGGCAATTCTAAGATATAAGATTTCACAAAAAAAAAAATATATATATATATACTTATATATATATATATATATATATATATATATATGATGCATACAATAATTTTGAAATAGAGTTGCTACCACTTTCGTGATTGGAGAGAGAAAGTTACTTTAACATCTATATATGAATAAAATAGGAAGGGATGTTTACTAATTAAAAGTTACTCAGAGGATTCATGAAGTTATCTAATAACAATAATCCCATTAAGTGTTCTGAGTTTATTTGCTAAATAAGCAATATGAAGGAATCCACATAAGGTTCCTAAGCGAATCGAAGATGAAATTGATAATGCATTATGAAATATTTCTATTGTTGGTAATTTGGACAGAAATATGTCCGTTCATATTAAATGAGAGCGGTGTGGCTGAGCTTTTTTTGACAAACACCAAGCTTTCCCGTGATTCTTGCAGATTTAAGTCAGTTCCGAACTTGAGTAGTAATGATCTTAGTACATCAGCGTATCCGTTTTCAGAAGAGCAGACTAGAAATATTTTCCTCTTGGTGACAATTAATGACTTGATTTCGTTGAGTTTATCTACAATGATTCGGTCAAAGATATTCCAAGCCAGGTGCAGCGACAGATCGCGAGAATTGTCGAAGAAAAGAAGCTTGCTAGTATATCTGATGTCGTTCGTTGAAAACATGAGGTCGTAGTTAGTTTTCTTTAGATCAATCACTTCCTTCAATACTCCATTTATTCGAATAAAGTGCAGTTCATCCTTGCCTTTGTGGTATTCTTTCAACTCATTATACAGCTTCTTGACATTTCGAAGTAATAGCACAACTGATAAATTATCTGACGTGCCCATACACTCATTGATGAAGTAGACCCCAAATAAATTGTTAACTTGGTTTTTTAGGAGAAGTGATGCAACGAGTTGATTTAATAAGTCATTCCTGTTGATGTTTTTACATAAATCACGTATCAGAACTCCATTTTTGTAGGGCGCATGACGTAAAGTTAATACTGGCAAGTCATAGCTCTCCACAATGCAACCATCATTAATCTCAGTCATTTCTTAGTCACTCTAAATGAGAAGGAAGAAGAAATAGACACAGAAATGAAGAAAGGCCTGCATGAAGAAAGACAATATTAATATTTCAATTTAAAACGGTCATAAAATATTCGAAATGGAAATTTAACGAAACTTTGACGAGAAAACATTTAAACGGTTTCGTTGATTATGTTGTGGGGTTTTCAGTGCAGTTGTATTGAGCAAGTTGAATTTTAACGGACAAGTATTTCGCGGAAGTGCATGCGAATCAAATAATTAAAGGAAATAATATAAACAGCCTGATACGGAATCATCACTCGTGCTGCAAAGCATCCTCATCCATCAGCTCGACTAATCTTCCTGGAATTAAGCTGTTCATCTGATAGCAGTAGATCCAATTCACAAAGTAAGTACTTTTTCAAATGAAATTTGAACTTATATAACTTTTTAATATTTCTTAGTTCCTCTGGTAACTGATTAAACAGTTTAATTCCTAGATAACTAGCTTCGATACCAATTCTATTCTTTCTTTTGAAATTTTTCATTTCTAATGTTCCATTGGATCTTCTGTTGCTTTCAATGGTTGTAAATTTTGGAAGTAAATCGGAATTGATGAGTAGAGACTTTTTTATATTAGTAATCATTGTATAGTAGATCACTCCGATGACTGGCAGTGTATTGCACATGTATGTTTTGTAAAGATCAGCCGTTTCATGAGTCGAGTCTAGTCTAAAGATCGCTTTAATACACCAGTTTTGTAGACGTTGTAGTCTCTTCAGGTCTTCCTTTGTTAGTTTAGTGTATATGAACGCACAGTAATACAAATGGCTCATGAAGTGAGCGTGAAAGAATTTAATTAGGGCATCAACAGGCAAATGGTTCCTGATAATCCTTAGAGCTTTCAATGAGTCTGTCAGTTTATCAATTAGCGTTTCGAATTGCATTTTAAAGTTCAGGTTCTCGTCAAATATAATCCCCAGATATTTCTGTTCCTTAACTTTTGCGATTTTCGTTACGTCATTTAGGCTCAAAGTATCTGGAGCAGTGTCATTCGAAGAATTCTTTAATATCATAAAGGATGTCTTGTCGAAGTTGATTGACAGACCGTTATCTTGATAATAATTACTGATGCAGACCAGATCCTCAGCTACTTCCTTTAAACCTTCATCCAAATAATCTTTATTGACCTCCCTATAAATTAACAAATCATCTGCATATTTTATTGATTTGGAGGTGATGTTCAAGTTTTGCATGTCAACTTGATTAATGTTGAATAGCGTCGGTGAGGCAGCACCACCCTGAGGCACTCCTTTCTTTATCCTTTTCTTAGAACTTAATGCATTGCCAATCTTAACCGAGAAAAATCTATTACTCAAATAGCTTGTTAGAAGATCATGCGCGAATCCTTTCACTCCAATTTTATCCAATTTATACAATAAGACGTCATGATTGACATAATCAAACGCTTTTTTCAAATCCACAAACACTACAATGCATAACTTATTTTCGTCAAGAATGCCAATCGACTCATTTAAAAATTTAAACACTGCATCATTAGTTCCGATTCCTTTTTTAAAACCGTATTGAGAGTTATCCTCCAATTTTGTGTGTCTCACGAAGCTACTTATCCTTTTCAATATGATGAGTTCCATTACTTTGTTAAGAATAGGTAGAAGGCTAATTCCCCTGTAGTTATCCTTGCTTGTTTTGTCACCACCTTTGTAAATTGGGATTATGTGAGCTTCTTTAAATTGTTGTGGATATTGTGATGTCAGTACAGCTTTGTTAATTATTTCAGTTAATGGAATCACTAATTCTCTTGCCAGTTCTTTTATAATTTTTCCAGGGACGTTATCGCTGCCAGCCGCCTTCTTACTGTCAATTGTCAACAAGAGTTCATAAACTTCTTCATATGTGACTACTTCAAAGAACATGCATTCATTATTCTGTGGACCAATATAATTTAGGATGACTGGTTGGTTTTCACCTGCTAGATTAGCCTCAAAGTATTCAGCAAGTGTTTCAGCAATTACTTTTTCGTCATTTATGGATATGTCGTTTATATTAAGAGTGATACTTGAGTTAGACTTTTTGTCCCGTCCAAGCACTTTGTTAACCACATGCCAAGTTCTGTTAGGATTTTCATTTATTAAATCAGAATAGTATTTTTGGGCTCTTGATATATTATGTCTATTAAGTTTATCTTTAACAACTTGTTGGATTGCTCTTAATTTATTTGTGGGTTTGCCAAGATTCATTAATTTTCCGATTTTTTTTTCAATATTGTTGATTCTTTTATGTAATCTAAATGATGTCTCGTTGGCCCATACTGGTATACAATCATTAAGTTTTAAGTTATACGTGTGAGAGTATGAGGCTTCCGCCATAGCCTGTTTAATTGATGTAATTAAAGCTGACGTCATTTTGTTTGTATTTCCATCTAGAAAAGCAGGCATGTTGATGTAAAACTTTTCTCTCATAAGATCAAAATCGAATTTACTAAAGGACACATTTTTGCTCTTTGCTATGGATGTGTTATGTACATTAATTAAACTGATAATCATATTGTGATCTGAAGAGCTCAACTTTTCGGCTGTTATAGACTGGGTATCATTATTCATATTTAATGTTAGTACGTGATCAATAATTGTGTTGTTAGAATTTCTCGTGATAGCATTATTTGACACATTGACATTATAGCCGCTTAGGAGATCAGAGTATTGGGTTGTCTTTATGTCTCGACTTAATAAGTCAATATTCATATCACCCCCAATGACTACTTTCCTGTCCTGAAAGTTGCTGAGTATTGTCTCGAAATCTTTAAAGAATTTAATAATATCGGCATTGGGCGATCTATAAATACATATAAACAAGACTGAATCAGTCTTATTATAATGTACTTCAACTCCCAGTATCTCACAGCAATTATCGGATTTATTAAAAATTACTTTATAACTATATGTTTTGTTTATGTATATCAGGATGCCACCACCGCTTTTCTTCTCACAGCACTTCAAATCCCTACTACATTTTATCGAATTAAATTCATTTAATTTATACATGTCGAACTTGCTATTTTTCTCAATCCATGTTTCTGTCAGCATAATTATGTCTAAATAATTCACAATCCCTGAAATCTCAAATTTAAAATTAGTAAATGCATTTAAAGATTTAATAGAGCGAACATTCCAGTTTAAAACGCTTAATTTATTAGAATTATCCTGTGATTTTAAAAGAGAAATTATTTTAGATAATGGGTAGTTATGGCGAGGATTAAATGAATGAACGCTTTTCACTACCTCATTAGCAGATTCAGGGGATTGTGATTTTTCATGTCATTCGTCTATCTCTTTAAATGATTCCATAGACGAGTCCAGAGATTGAGTAGGAGTGCCCCTGATATCTATTCTGTCTCTTTTTGCTTCCGAGTTGTACTCTAGCGATTTGCCACGCTTTCTTTTGCCAGTTCCCTTTTTATAGCTATCGTTTTTCTTCTGCCAATATTCTTTTGTATATATTTGCTTGGATGGGATGTCACTGAATTTCATGTTAAATTTCTTTCTCATATTGTCTATCTGAGTAAAGTTTCTCACTTCGTATTTTTTTGGGATTTCGTTCGTGTCATCTTTGTTTTTCCTTTTCATTATAGCTTTGACACTTTCGGGACCGTACACAATTTTTTCTATGTCCTCCTCGTTCTTTAACTCTCTACATACTGACATTATTTTCCGCATCTCATAGGTAGACGGGATTTCCAAGTAATACTTATCATTCAGTGAACTACTGGCGAAAGTATTTTGTCCATCTTTATTCGCACTATCTTTCGTGTTTTTTTTTTTCATCATCAGGAAGTCAGAGAGAATCCTTTCAGCTGTGACAAAGTCATTAAATGTTACTACAATGTGTTTAATGAAACGAGCTGGCCCAAACAGATTTCTTTTCTCAAATCGAGTTTCACCACTCACGATTTTTGATGAACCAAGCGATAATTTTAACTCATTTAGTATTTTTGTAGCTTCTGCAATTGCATTGATTCTGGTCACATCCTTCATACGTTTATCATCTCTCACAAATATTTTCAGAAAGTGTTTAGAATATCTGATGTCTGTAGCTACCTTTAATGCCATTAATTTATCCTCAGAATCATTCTTGTGAGCAGCCAAATTGTCTTCTAAGCTTGTGAGTTGATAATTGACATGTTCTGATAGATCATCAATATCGTTTGTTAAATTATCCAACGTGGACTTGCTAGTTTCTTGATCACATGACAATGACTCTATTGCTTTAGCCATTATTAACAGAGAAGCTTTAACATCCTCAACATTTTGGATATTTTCGATACATTTAAGTGATTCAATTAGTTCTTTTGATTTACTTGTATTGCTGGAACCGCTGATGCCTTTCGATTTATTTATCTTAGTTGACTTATCTTGATTTTGTCTAAAGGCATCCATGATCGTTTGATTTTTAGCTTTTTCGCCACTTTCACTGGATTTCTTTGGAGGCATTTTAAGCGATTTGGCTTGGGGGAGTTAATGTCTTACTGTAATTGAGTTTTTGGGTTATAGACAACCAAGAAAAATTCGCGAGTTTTTTGGAATGTTAGTTCAGAGATATGGAGATTAATTCAGGTTCCCTTTGATCAGTCTGTAACTAATGCTAAATGAGCATAAGTTAGGACTGGATATCAATTGGCTATGCGGGTGAATGACTGGAAATAACTGTACAACAACAATTCACTATTCACGGACAAACATTAAATTAGTTTAATCCTTACAACTTATGCTTGACAGTTCTGAAATCTTTATTGGCACCTTAGGTAGCTCCTCCACGAAGATAGCTGCTAATTCAGCCGCCAACAGCCACAAGAATCACTAAACTTAATACTTTTGATAGGAGCACAAGAAAAGCACACACCTCTCGTACTACCACGCTTGCGATCGAAATGAAATTCTCGATTAACGTGGATAGATCTTGTCAAAATTTTTCAGTCCAGATCCTCTAATGGTGATTAGTTCCTATTGATCCACTGTGAATCGTAGGGCGTTCATAAAGCGGTTGAACAGGTTTCTGTCCCTGGCTATAACAGCTACTTCCGCTAGTTTCTTTTGTTGCTGTTCTGCCTCCTTCTCTACGGTTGTACGCCGGTTGTAGATCCTCTAACCTTGAGCATAATCCCATTTCCTCGCATCCTCATCCACAGTCAGCCGACCTGAATGAAACATTGTAAATCATCATTATGACATTAAATCCACAGGAAATTGCATTAAGCTTTTGTAAAATTGAGGACAAAAAAATAGAATTTTTAATTTGGAGCAAGCAAGCCATCGGAGGTTGGTGCTAGAAAAAAATTAGCACATGCATAAAAGGACATTCCCTTGTTTGCCTTTTTTGTCCTCTTCTCATCTCATGATCATTGAACATTGACGCCATGACGCGATTTCCTCTTTTTGTGCCTCCTTTTTATGTTTGTATGAGAGTCTAAAACCAATTAGTTTTTTTTATGCCATGCCTCATTATCAATTAAATATGAGGATGGGTGATTTTTTTTTGTTTGATGAAGATGGGTGGGGAAGAAGCCTTGCAGAAGAATGGACTTGTTAATAGCTCTCTGATTATTTTATGACTTTTGTTGCTGTCTTGTTGTCGGGCAATTAAGTTGCATTGCCATTAAATTTTTGTTCGCCCTTGTAATTTGTGTCTCTTATTTGTTTTTGACACTAAAATGTCGACAGATAGAAAATTAAAAAGGGAACATTGTATTTTATTGTAATTTGCAATAACATCAGCAACCAGCAACAGTACGAGTAAATGAATTCAGAATTAAGAGTTCTCTCGCACGCATTCTTCGCTGTTTTTATATGCTTTCATTTAAATATAGAATTTCTACGATAAAGATTCTATTTTTAGCTCACGAAACCAAGAACAGAAGTGATAAAACGACGAGAAGAATGATGTGAATTAGAGTCTCATGGGAATCATAAACTCAAGTCGGAATGATGATGATATTATAAAAATGTCAACGCGCAAATATACGGAGCGTAAAAAGGGCAAAGTGAATATGAAGCCTTGAGGGTTGGAAAGAAAGAGGAAAAATGATGATTTTAATTATCTTAAAATTCTCAAAAATCCACACTTTCATCGTTCACTCGCTTTGGTAATGACGAGAAATTGATGTGCTATAGAGAATTCAAATGAGATGCTCGACATTGACTTTAATGTCAATAATATTCAGATGTTTAGATCAGATAGAGGATAATAGTAATTTTTTTGAGGATTATTTAGTCTGTGAACTTGTTAAATGATTGAGTTGATGATGTCATGTGAGTTCATTAGGAAACTTGACTTACACTTGATAAATAAGGCAAGAGTTGATTATTGGAAATGATCTTACGATGTTTTTAACTATGATTCCGAATAGAAAATTGGGCATTGGTCGAGTAAATGTTTGCGTTGCCAGGGCAGATTGGAATCTCGTGTATCAAGCCATATAAAGGAGAATCTGCTGATTCGAGAGCTAGACTTCTGTGGCATGAGTGGTTGGTCAACAGGATGAATATCTTTTACCCTCTTTTGTGACAATATGGGTTCGATTCCCACCAGAAACCGATCTCTCAATCATTATATAGAGTGTTGTCCTTACGACAAGAATTCGCACAATGCTCACGACATTATATAATGTCTTATTAAAGGAATGAATATTCAAATCTGAATGTTATAAGTCGTACCTTTAATAAAACATTACCTTTATACATTATCCAATTAATCATTTTCCTCAAATTGTTTGGAATTTATATTTAAATCCGTATTTTTCGTCAATTTTCACAATATTCAAATGATGAAGCTACAAGAAAGGCTTTGAAAGAACACCAGTAGCTCAAAAATATTAGATTCTCACTCATTTGTTCACAGAATCACTTTCAGTTCATAACTCAAAAGTTTGACAACTACAGCAGCTTTTGTTTCAATTCTCCCTGAAAAAAAAAAATCCCACAACAAGCACGATTTCCTGAAGATTGAATGAAAAAATCGTGTACAGCATACAACTTACATCTCAATGCACAGATTACTCAATTTCCTCTAAACTTATTTCCCCGATGAACTGAAAATTACGAGATATCATATCCTCTATCTTAATAACATCATTATCGTGTGTGATTCCATTATCAGAATAACTCACAGCTCTTGAGGCATCCGTAAGACGAAGATACTTTATTTAGTAATAATGTATTTTTATCGAAGTTTTTAAGAATGTTTATGTTTTTATAAATATCATGTCTTCCACATCCTCCCCCATCCACCCGCTTCTCTTGATGATTGTTGTAATTTACATAATGTGACTTAGACGATGATAATTTAGTGCTGCAAATTTTATTATCTATAGTCTATAGATCTATTTTAATGTTTGAAAAATTTATTACAAGCCATTGTGGATGGCAATGAATGGCACATTAAGTAACCATTTTTTTTTTTGCTCTTCGGGATGAAGGCCTCATGCGTTGATATTAATGTAGGTTAAAAGGATTCTAAAAACAGAATTCTGATACAAAACAGAGACGAAAGCTTATAATAAAAAAAATTTTTTTGTGAAAAATGTTTTAATAGGCAATAAAAGGGTCCTCGAAATATTCAAATTGACTTGGATATCTTAAATTCGCAATGACTGTTGAGAAGTTCCGTTCGCAAAAATTTCTATTTTATGCTGATAGGGGAAATTTGTATTCTTAAAATATGAAAATGCCAAAAAGAATCTTCATCTCTTATTACCATAAATTTACAACAATCGCACATGGAAGTGCTTTCACTTAGATTCAAGCTTCATCATTCTCATTCATGTTTTCTAGCATTTTAAACATGAGACAAATCTGATTAAAAAAATTGCTGGATCTTCAGTTTGTCTATAACATTCAGACAAGCACTGCCAATGACAGAATGTTCTATATCCTCCTCCTCAAATGAAACAACACAAGCATAAAATAATTTTACACGTGCCTAAATAATTTCAAACAAAAAAAAAGTTTCATTTTAATCACATGAGTTAGTTCCCACAAATTGCGTCACTCAATGTCCCTTGGCAATATTCTTTCACACTTGTTTACATGCAGAGTGATAAAAATTAACAATGAAAGGTCGTTTCTGTAATGTTTCTAAAAATATGATAGAGCATTTTTAAATGGCACAGGCGGGAGAAAAAGACCGTGAAAATTCAGTGATGATGATGATTTGCAGAACTCAATGCCTTATTTTAGATTGTAAGGAATGAATAACTATACGACCTGTTAAATGGTTCATGACATAAGTTCACTTCTCATTTCCATCATTACCGTAATATGCTTTATTCAGTTATTGCTATTTTTGTAGTTTCTCTTCCTGCTGCAGTGAAAAATCCAATTTTTATATTCTCCGACTTTATTATTACTTGTTTTTAACCACGTGCGATTGATTCTCTTATAGAATTTTCTCTTTTCTCTTCATGTACTTAATTTATGATCTATGGGTTAGCAATATTTTTTAAGAATGGTCGCTGGTTGTCCAGGCAGTTGCTTGATAGCATGTTTATCCACATATGCGCTTAAAATCCTTGATTTCCTACTAATCTATCTTATTGATATGAACGAATAGATGATAGAGATCATAAAAGTCAAGAGACACACCTTAAATTCACCTCAAGCTTGTTTCATATAAGCGACGATGAACATATGACTTCAAATTGATTTTTTCTTTTTCCTTCCTTTTTGCATTTCATTTGATTAAACTTCTTATTTCCTCTGCTTTCGCCTCATAAGCTAATTCCCTGTTTCATGAACCAATAGACCAATTTATGTGGGGAGTGTCTGGTGAGTTACGTGATGCGGGACGGGATTAGTCAGTTCAATGTGTTTTGTGCACGAAATATGCTGAATGATGTCCATCAAATATTGGAATTAAGGATCTTTCTCTTTGACTTTAAATGTTAGAAGTTCCAGTTAATAATCGTACCTGACAGTCTATGAAGTTGATTAGACCTGTTTCTTGGGTTTATCCCAGCCATGCTGTAGGAAGACTAAGACCAAGTTTGATCATCAGTCAATTGTCTGTAATTGAACCTTTCTGTACCAAACGTGTTTGAAAAAAACCTTGATTCATGCCCAGCAACTCAAAAAAGGTTCAGCACACACTATCTTAATAGAAAGGCAATCGGTAGTTCACCAATTTGGCAATCCAACCATACATTCATGTGTATATGTATCTAGAGACAGAGAGCAACAACATAAATAAAGGCTCGTTATCTTATCATCATGTCCATTATTTACAAAAGAAGGGAGATCGATGAAAATTTCGGGTAAATGCATGAATGACTATTATTATTAAGGCATGAAAAACGAACGTTAAGATATCCACGTAGACACGTTTTCATCATAAAATTTCCATTTTTCGACAAAAATCGATGTCTATGACAGTTTTCTTATGATGTCATCAGCATATCAGTGGAGCGAGAATGAAAAAAAAAGAACATCATTTCCCTTTCATTCGCATCCACCACATATGCTGTGTGTTCAAAAGAACCGCTCGAAACGAGGAAAGAAAGTAAAATGATTGGAAAAACTTTTATCATTTCTGTCAGAAACACATCACGTCACACGTGACGATGTTGTGCAACAAACATTTTATGAATGTGACACAACATCATGTCACACTTGTGCTACTGAATAGCGCGCGCGAGTTTTGATATTGTTGCAGAGCACACCACACATACAATATACTTTGCTTCTCCATGTAGAACGAACACAGCAAGCAGCACAAAAAAAGAGGAGGAAAAATCTAAGAGAAGAAAAAAGAAAATTTGTGTTACTAGTTTTATGACGGTATTCATTACATGCTGACACAGTTTGCTCTCTTCTCCCGAAATAAGAAATATTAATTTTTTAAATGTTTTCTTAGTGCCGATAAAAGAAAAAAGGAAAGAAAAATTGTTCAATGAGAAGATTGATTTAATTAATATTTTTTTTGTGTGTGAAAAAATTAAAGTGTGAAAAAATAAATCAGTGCAAGTCAATTGATATTATAACCCAATGTTAGCAAAGAGAACAGAGTCCGTTACAAACAAAAAAATTTCAAAATTTTCGCGCGGTATTTTTTTAAAATTTCAAAATAAGAAAGTCCGTTACTTTTTATTTTTTTTTAAACTAGCTGTTTTTTAAAGCATAAACATTTAAGGAATGCAATTTCATCACAGTGATTATCTTAATCATAAAAACTAGTAGGAATGTTCACTAAAATTACAAATTACTCGAAAAATAATAATTCACAACGAATTTTTTTAAAAATAAGAACTTCGAAGATTCGATTTTCGAAGAATAAGAACCTCGAAAATTCGAAGTTCGAAAAATAAGAACTCAAAAATTTCTGTTTGCTAGCATTGGATTATAACAAAGAAGCAAAGCTCAATGTAAAGCCATTTGTAGTCGCTTTTGGATTCTTGTTCAGATTGATTGCTATTTAAGGTAATTTCATGCAGAAAAAAATAAATAAATAAAATGTGCAATTTGAAGTATGTATAAATTTATCTGTGTACAAAATGTTGACTGCTGTGTGACTGTCGGCATTGAAAAGAATGTAAAGAGCAAGATTTCAGTTAGATGTGAGAATTACGAGAGAGTCATGTCACAAGATGTATAGATTTAGTCAGTAAAAACAAGGAATTTCCAAAAAAAATCTTTCATAACGAAGAATTCATTAGAAAAGGAACCCGAGAAGCACATGATATGCATCTGGTCATCTGAGAGTATTCAGCAGTTAAAATGACATGAAAAACTCAAATGGAGTCATCTAGACTTTTTAAAAAGCCATAGCACCATGATGAAACCTCTCCAGAGCTCCAGACCACCAAAAACATTAAATAACTTGTACTGTGTAGCTCGGGAAGTAGATCAAAGTGAATATTTAAGTTCCTCGTTGGTGCCAGAAGTGAGCATTTTATGTACCCCAGTTCAATACAAGTCATAAGACATAATTTTTCAACTCATTTGCACAAGTAGAAGCACACAAAAAAGTTATAATTAGATTATGCAGATTTATGTCGCAGCTAAAGAGAGTTTTAAAGTTTTTTTTTTATAAATCCAAACACACCGAAAAAACATCAAAAAATGTTTGTCTTGTTGCCAGTGAAATGTGTATTAAAAACATAGCTCTGCATATGATATTCGTAGAAATGCACTGTGACGTCTGTCCTCGATCTTTCCAACGAAAATAAAATAAAGAATTATGAATGAGAAATATTAAAAATACCGAGAAGTTTCAGTTGTGATGCGAAAGGATGACTTTATTGCGCATTTTTGCGTGATGATGTGTACAGTTGCTAGTTAATTTGTTAGGTAATGCTGTTTGCAGTATCATTTATTACAGATTGAATCATACCTTCTAATTCTTGGATATTCTTAACGATACGTGGGATATTTATAGCAAACTGCTCTATTACATAAGAATTACTCACTGTGAGTCTTAAAATAATAGAATTTATGACTTTAGGTCATGGTTCGGTAATTCCATCGTTTTATTTTTATTTGTGTAAGAAATGGATATGAAGTTGCAATAAAGAACCCAAAAAATTCAAAAATAACTTCATTGAGAGTCGAATATCATTGGATATACGATATGGATCTGCTTTAAATAAAACGATTCCAGCATGCGAATTTAAAGAGATTCTTGCTTATAGGCTCTCTTTTACAAATTCTTAAATAGCTTTTGGAAGAAATTTAAAGTATTCTAGAATAAGGATTTAATGCCATTTATAGCCAACAATTACAACACCTGAATATAACGAGAAGTAATCATTTTGGAGGAGGTTTTCAAGTGTCGTCCAGTACAAATGAATTATTAGTGTCTATTTGAAATTTTATGAGCGTTGTACCTTTCTTTGTCTTACCAGTTGTTAATTGAGTGATCAGAGTTCTTGTGGGAGTCGAACCCTCGCTCTAACACGCGTAAAGGTTAACATTCCGAGTCTCTGGCCCAACTTCCGACCCTAAATTGGCAGATTTATCTACATATAGCTATATACTCAAGTTTATATACTCTGTCATGTAAAGTAGCTTTAGATACTTTTAGTCAACTTAAGTGACTTAAAAATTTAAAGATTGATGAGCCATTGCTTCAGTTTCTATAATAATATGATGTAAAATCTAAGAACAAGAGAAAAATTTGTTCGCAAGTGTCAAAAATCTTTGATAAGTTGTTGCCTCATCTTTCCTTAAACATTTAACATTACTTAATGACAACTCCTTATAATTATTTTGTAATTTAATCCAAATGAATCTTTTTACTGCTAAAGAATTCAATGACAAACATTCATTAGCAATCTAAGCCTCCAAAAAGTATTTTAATGACCAAAAAAGTTTCCAACATAAACTGTTATCATTAAGTTGACAATTGTTGGAGCTACAGTGAGTGATATATAAAGTAATTTACAAAATTTCTCTCTGTGACAATATAAATTCTTCACGGACAAAACAATTGTCTTTAAGCTGTTTATTTCTCAAGAAACAATGTACAAAAGACAAAATGAGAGAGGATGAATAAAGAAAAACATGAGAAAGATTTATTAATAATATCTCTATTCTAGTGTGTGCGGAAAGACATGTACCCGAAGGAAAGGAAAGGAAAAACATGAAATTTATACATAAATGCCATGCTTTTATATGCTTGTTTGCGTAGAAATTTAATGTATGAAAAATAAGCGAAGCCAAAAAAATTATCATTTTCAATGTGATACTGCCAACAAGAAGAAAAACACAATTTCCGCATTTACTGTAAACTTTTAAGCTTTTTGGCATCACTTTAAAGCATTTGAATGAGATTTCTTTTAGACTTTGGGGTTCATTCAATTATGACGTCAATTACAAAGTTGGATTGATAATAAATCGTTTTTTAAAGTGTCACAAAATCTCAAATTCAACGCCCATCCCCTCAAAATGATAGACGTCATAAGTAAACAACCCCTTTTCATTGATTTCGATTTCTTTCCTTTCTTACAACATGAATGAAGATGAATAAGTGAGCGTCTCATTCATTGTTATTGTCGGCAAATAATGGTGATGATACACTGATGATGATGATGTTGATGATTTGCTAGAATGTATAAAGGCAAAGATATTTAGAAGGAAACGTCAAAGAAAGGAAAATATGCAAAGAAGAAAAATGATTTGAATCATTATGTCTAAAAAAAATCTATGGAAAGTATGTTAAAAGTAAACGTGATGGAATTTAGTGTTTCAATGCAAAAAGTTACAAAAGGAATCGATGGAATGATGAATAATTGCGGAGCATTTTTCATTGGAAAATAGCCGATGGGATTTGTTTTGATGAAGGGAATTTTAATAGATGCCTAGCAGGGTTCGTAGATCTTCTTATTAGTTCTTCTTCACTTTTATAGGCACGTGGCTATGATGTAAGCTTTGTTTTGAACATTATTTTGATAAAGTTATTAAGCACATTGGATTGTAAGACCGAATATTTCAGCATTGAACTGATTTAGAGTCGAGTTCGTGGGAGTCGTTCATAAATGATGTTTATCAAAATATGGATTTTTTCAGTCGTTGCTTCTTTGCTTTCAAATGATGTTCAGCATATTTCTTTTACAACCATCACAAATCTCCGTTCTTTCTCAATAGTTGACTTTCCGTCACCTTCATGCTTAAGGCATGACAGTGTTATTCACTTTTGTGTAAAATAGGGTATCAAAAATCCTTTTTTAAACACTTCCTTCATAAAATTGCTTCAGTCTGAGTCAGCCAATCTATATGAACCGACACATCTAACTGTTTCTTATTGTAAGAATTGTCACACAGCGTAAGATCTCCTCATCCCTCTCACTTAACAAATAAGACATCATGAACGAATGATTTCTTAATTTCCAAAGTACTTTTATGTCTCAGATAGTTCCACATCCCCAATAACACAATTCCCAAATGTATATACTAATATTTTTTTATGATAAATGCTCAACCTTACTGCCAGAACTGCTACCTATAAATAAACAAATTCTCAATAGACACAAACACAACATTCCAGGACAAACTGAACACATTAACTGCCCTCTTGAGAAAGAACTGCAATAAAAAAGAATCGAAAAGAAATGAAAAATGATCAGAAAACAGAAGTAGATATATCATTCATTCATCCATGACCCACATAATCTTGTACAAATGCCCGAATTATGAACTATTTTTAAAGCTTTATTACACCTTTAATATAATTCATTTCATCATATTTCCCCCTTACGACATGCAAAAAGATACATTACGTCGGCATTTTTTGTTTTTCCTCCTGTCTGATAATTTTAGCAACTCGTGATTGCTTTTCAAAAAAAAATTTTGCGTGTATACAAAGTTTTCAGTCAGTGAATCAACAAGAATTCAGTTTATCTTTGAAGCGCGGTACAAAAAGGTCAAGAAAGCTGAAAATAAAAGAATTTCTATTTTGATAGAGAACGTGCGAGTGATTAAAAATATTTTCTTTAGCGATGCCTAATCGGAAAGCAATTACAGTGATTTTGTGATGAATATGGTGTAAATGAATTAGTGAATGAATTGTAAATTTACACAGGGGGTTGTTCATAAATGACGTTTGACACTAAATTAGATTTTTTGTCCCTCACCCTTCTCCCAAATGTCTTACAAATTAATTATATAAATTCATGCAAATGTGACATTGACAGAATTCTCCCAAAAAGAGGAACCATCATTTATGAACAAACCCTATAGGAACTGTCGATAACTGACAGAGTGAAAATGCATCTTACCTCGACATTCACACTTACACAGTAATTAGTGTTTGAAGACGAAAATAAAAAGATTTTCGTGAATGTAAAGTGCATTTTACAATTTTCAATGTTTTGCTGCCATCGTGATAATCATTTCAAGTCAATCGTTTAAATAGATCGAACGTGAATTCTATCCCGGTAGAATTAATTTCATCATCGGAACTGACTCATTCTTAGAAATATTACTAAGAGAATATTTTTTCTATCTTTGATTTGATTTTAACGCCATAAGTGACCTTCCATACTGTTATAAATAATTTAGCAAGTAATAAAGTGGATTTAAAGGAACGACAAAAAGACTTTTTTCGTGATCATTTCTTCTCCATCTTTTTTTGTGTTGATTATGCAATAAGCTGAGACTGCAAAAAAATAAATAAAATTCAATTATAATAAGACTGTCGAATACAAGAAAATGAATGGAAGAGAAGACTTTGGTCCATTAGTGGACGTCCTGGTAGCATGTGTGGGTGCAATGGACGTAATTTCAGTTGTCGCCATAGTTTACAATCTGGCCAGTTACAACAATCTATCAATGGATATTAATAATAATGAAGTCAAGGTAACACAAGATAAAAGTCAACATGCTGAGACAAATGACACATTGTCACGTAGTAAGGATAGTGGAATTCCATTAGTAGTTGTTGATTCTTCGAAAGTTGACGGTGACGTAATCGATTCCCTTGTTACAAAAGTCAATGCACTGAATGAGAAAGTAGCTGAACTTGTTATACGTTCTCGCGAGAACTCAATGGAACGCTTTCTCGATGCAGAGCGTGAACGTTATCGACGCTCTCGTAGTCCATCACCAATAAATCGTGATGATGAAGATTCGAGTACATTTTTAGAACATGAAAATGACGATGAGAATGAAAATGAGGGAAAATCACATGGCAATGCTGAATATGATTATCATCTATCTAAAGGTATCACGCGGGACGATGAATTTAGGAAAACAATTAAACGTTCGTCACAGGTGTCATCGCAGCATGAGTCACGTGAAGAAGAATTGGCACGACTTACAGAGATTGAAGCGGAAGAGATGAATAATATGGATGATTTTGTCCCAATAACATACCACAATGACGAGTATGATGACAATATTATAGAAACAATAGAGGAAATGCCAACATGTCCGATTCACGGTAAGATAGAAGAGATTCTGGCATCTGGAAGTAGCGAGAAACCATTAGAAGAGATTGAGAAAACCACAGAGATTTCAGTTGGAGATGCCAAGTCACAGAATGAAAATAAAATGCAGACTAAATTTGATATAAATGAGAATTTCATTAAAATGGAAAAGGCTGCTCTACAACAGCAAGCAAGCACAGCACGTATGCTTATGAAGCAAGGTAATGTCGGATCTAACGACTTTCCTGACGAAACAATAAACGAAATAATCTCAAAAAGAGATGAGAACATAACGACTGAATCAAAAATTGTAGAAGATGTCTTAATCAAGGCACACGTTGAAGAATCTCCAAAACTCGAAAACTTTCCAAAATCTCTTGAAATCACATCATCGACAAATGAGGTCACTTCCGAATTGATTTCTTCACTTGAGGACACTCAAAAGGTTAACATGACAAATGTTGAAGAATTCTCAAAAGTAGATGTTGAGCCATCCATAATGGTGCGTAGTTATGCTGATGTGCTTACAACAAACGAGATTATTGATGAGAATGTAACAGAATTAAAGAATGAGAATCAAGTGCCGGTTGTGGAAGTTATCAGTGAACCACAAAGTGTTATTGGAAGTTTAATGGAGGTCAATGTAAATCCGACATCAAATTACTCGCTCGGATCTACGGCAACACCCTCAATGAGCAGTTACAGCAATACGAATTTAAATATGTCGATGTCATCATTACAGAATAAGAGTGAAAATATCTCATTGGCATCATCTGCGCTCGATAATGTTGAGTATCTTCTAAATTTTTATTGAAAACCCTCAAAAATTACTTTATGCTGCTTTTTTATATGTTTTAGGATTTTGCAGTACGAAGAAGAACACCCGACCCCGACGTAAGTATTTCAATTTTACAACATGATGCTGACGAAATAAGCATAGAAAATGAATTGCTCAACATTACTTCACCATCGTCATCTGGTGAAGGATTAAAGAGATCGAAACGTTGCATTAATTCACTCGATCGAAGTGCTAGTCGTAGCTCATTAAGATTAAGTCATTCAAGGAAGAGCAAAAGTCCATCTGTGGCTAGTCAAGAAGATTATAAAGAATGGTTCGATAGATTCGATAATCATCTTTCATCGGAACTAACTGTACAGGAAAATGATGACGATGAGCTTTTCAATTCGGACCTGGAAGAAGAACTTTTAATCGGTGCTGAGGATGGAAATTTAGATGGTTCTGAAATATGCAATATTGATGATGCCAAAGGTAATGGAGACGTATCAGTCATTGTGACACTTAATCTGAAGCAAAAACAAACGAAACATGACGAACGAAAGGAGGAGGAAACGTGCAATCCTTGCGAAGAATATCAAAAAGACAAAAACATTTACAAGACGAAAGGAGAGGAACTAGAAGAAATGCAGCATGCATGGGAGACAAAAAAGCGTCGCACATCAATTTTACCATCGACAGAAGAGCAGCAAAAAAATTACGTCTGTATTCATTTCCATCCAGAAGAGTTTCCAGATCGAAAAAATGTTGAAGCATTTCATGAAAGTAGCAAAAAAGAGCCACACGAGCATCATCAGCACTTGCATAATGTGGGCTATAATGAATGGATGAAGAAAATTGTAGATCATCACTCGTGTCATTTGGCATTAAGTGACTCCGGCAGTGATTCTGATGTGGCACTTGATGAAGTGAAAATGCTTCCGCTCTTTTGTGACGAGAAGTTGAAGAAGAGACGAAAGAAGAAATGACTAGTTGCAAAAAGTTTGAGGATTAAACTCCGTAAATCTCTTTGTCGCGTTGTGGGAAGCTTGAATTGTTGTAAAGCTTCAAAAGGATGACTCTTTTTTTAAAAACGGAAGTTCCTGATTCCGCGTTTGATAAAAACTTTTGTGCCACAAATTTTTGATTTACTTCCTTTTTTTTCATTTCTGTCTTTTTAGATAATTTTAATAAAATATCGCCTTAAAGTAAGTGCAAGTAACTGGTATTGTATTGCATTTTGTAGCTTTAGGGCGTGCAAATTAGAATCCTCTTGCTTATTGCTTTTTTTTTCTTGTGCGGACGTCACACAACTGATATTTTGTTTAATCTTCTTTTTGTAGCGTAAAAACATCCACCATTGACCTATTTTTAAAATTCAGTGATGATATTCATTCATAGAATAGCCAAAGTCATTAGAGATTTGTGTGAAACACACGCTTGTTATATTATTTTTTGTATAACCAATGTTATCAATAACATCATCTATCGTCCTCATCAGCGTTGATCGGAAATAAATTACGGTCATTAATTAAATGCTGTAAAATATGGTTTTTGTTGTTATTAAGTTTGGGAGCGCGGTTTTCTCAGTTTAAGTGAGTTTCATAAGGGATAGCTGCAGAAATTATATAGACATCAAGTAAAGGAATGGTTCCAAGAATTTAATTTACAGAATATGATAAAGTGGAGCTTGTTTAAGTTCGCTATTCAAAGAATTCCGATTTTTGAGCCATTCAAAACTGTTTCCCCCTTAAAATTTGGACTAGAACTTGAATTTAAGGTACACATCTATAGACTGCATATTTTGGTACCTCTACTGCTAGAAATTAGAAACTATACCTCAACACTTTTCTAAAAACAATTAATTTGAAAGTCTTCAATTTGAGTCTTAGGATTAACATGACTTTCTTGAATTAAGTCTCTTCAGTCAGGAGCCAGATGCTCAATTTAATACTGGACATCCCTAATTTTATACTATTAGAAACACTTCTTGTTTACCGCTATGCTATATTGTAAGATAGTCTAAGTCAAATGGCTAGGACTGAAACTTATACTGACATTAAGCTTAAACTGACCAGCTGTAGATACTTAATAAACAGCAAACAGAACCATCTAATCAAAATAATCAACTTCCGATCAATTTTTGCCACATAGGCTAATTTATCTATTTTTAACCTTTTTGTATTCACAATTAATTAACTCCAAACTGTAGCGCCATATTTAACATATTAAAAAGTATGCAAAAATAGTTTCAAGGAGCTTGACTAAGTTACTAATTCACTCACTTCCATAACTGAAAATATCATTGATTCTGTCACACGAAAAAAAAAGAGAAATTACATGTGACACATGCAGTGACAAAAAAATAAATAACTTATTATTCAAAGTCGATCAAAAGGTATAATTATCTCATTTAAATTTCTAATCGCACATTGACGCCTCCACAGAAAAAAAAGACTACGAGACGAATTGAACTATAAGTAGAGATAGATTTAAAATAGATCATACGGCCAACGGCTTTTTTGTATACTCTTATATGCTGTCTATTTGAACAAACATGTTTTATTTTTAATTAACTTTGATTTTTGAATCAGCCGGGATGAAAATATCACGTTGGAAATACTATGTTCATTAGATTCTACTTAAAAACTACATTTCAGAAAATGCGAGTGAAAAAAATTGCCTCAAAAAAAGGCAAAAACATTTTCATAAAAATGTTTGTAAATAAAATTTTCAACGTGAAGATTGAATGGTTTATGCATACATGTTTAATTGGACATATGAGTATTTAAATTAAATTGGGTGCTATAAATAGGTTTGTGATGAAAAAGATGTTGTTTTTTGTTTTCAAGTCTTTCTTAAACGCCATCTAGATGTGATGATTGTGGGGATATTTGGAGGTTCTAGTGATCGATTTGATCTTGTTGGGATGTGTTTGGATACTTTTGAAAGCTGAGAGCGAGAAAGGGTAGATCATTAAAGCTGAGCAACAGCTTAGCTAGCTCTTGCTAAAATAGAACATTCTTTTCTTACTTTAAGTAGGAAAATCGTCTTCCAGAGTCTTTATGTTGCTAACAAGTTGACAACTATATCCGTCATTCTCACATCTCATAACCTTAGATGAGAACAGTTAGAAAATAAATTCAATTAAAAAACCTCAAAATCCACACGATACCCAACCGCAGAAACAACAATCTATCTTAGTCCTCATGCACTCCGTTGATTTTCTGAATTTGTCAACAAACTTGTCACCTTTCAGATTTGTCACTGACCCGTTGATCTTGAATAGCGAGGAAACAACTTGCTGTAAAATTGAAAATGAAATTCTTAATGAAACTTGAGATTGAAGGTTTTGTTTATTGGAAAATTTATAGATAGGACAGGCTTTCTTTTGTTCTATTTTAAGCATATTAAGACCACCAACCTTGCTTTACGAAAATTTCATAACAATCCCAGAAATTATTCTTCCTCAATTAAATTGAATCTACTGGATATTACATAATAAGAAGGCATGATATATAGATCACACCCGGGAACCGGAGAGAATCTCCATCAATATATAATAATCCTGTAATATTTATAATTCAGATTTATGTATTTTAAAACTCAACACATCAAAATTTTCCTTTTCATTTTCAATTGTTTGTTTATCTTAATGCACAAATGTGTATACACATTCCATCTCATTCATTATCTTGATATTTTTCTACATTGCGAGAAGAAAAGATTCGCAACGAATCAATTAATGTGTCTTTTTGCTTTCTTTAATTGGGATTGTTTGTAAATGACGTGCTTTAAGAGTTGTCTGATAGGTTTCTAGTGGCATTTAGCTAGCTTTTTGCTGTAGCTAGACTCGGACACTTTTGCATGCTTAAGTAATTTTAAAAACGTGACTGGTCACTATCCAAAGCTTAAACATCACTGGCTAATAGCCCCCATTGCCTCATCTCGTTACGATTTGCACACGGCTTTGGAGAGTGGAAATGAAAATAGTTATAACATCACAAGGCATCGCGTTTTGTGTGAAATAAAAGAGGAAAAAAAACACTGGCGAATAAAATATGGATGAGAAGAAAATGAAGACGGGTGTAGTGTCGGGTGCAGTATAGAAAAAAATCCGCACTTTTTTCTCATCATCTTCTTCATAACAAGTGATATTTTTTAATTTATTTACTTTTCATGTCTTGTTACGTTTTTCATCCTCCTCTGAATATTTTTAAATGTTCACATTTCTTGCCTTTGGCTGTTTTACTTCATTCGTTCTGCTCGTCTACCTGTCATGGTTCTTAAAATCCAGCTTTTTATATATTTGTTGAATTTTCTAATCCTCTCAAACATATCAGCATTCTTAATTAAATACCCCGAATAGCATAAGTTGGTTAATCGAATAGAAATCTGGCATCGGACTGGCTTCGGTTTAAATCCAACACCATGCTAGAGTACTCATTGATCAACCGAATTGTGCGATTCAAGAAATATATTCAACAGCCTCAGCAACACATAATCGTCTACAATAATCCATAATACATCTTTGAGATGGAATTTCCTCAAAAGAAAATCACTAAAAAATTACCATAAACATTTTCCAAAGAATTACAACTCTTACTATATAGAATAACCGTAATTATGCGTATCATATTGTTAGAATCTCCTTAAAATCCATTTAAAATTCAAAACATGAAATTTCGAGCACTCAAATATTTTCGTTTAGATTTTTGAGGTTTTAAAACAAGGAACAGGCAATAAAATTAGTTTTAATTATCATAAAATTAACTTCTTTTATCTCACTTCATCTTAATTCACTTTTGTTTTCGTTTCGTGCCAACAAAAAATCAACAACACTTGAAAGTGGCCCAGAAATAGAAACAAAACGTTAATTTTTATTTGCAATGTAAGGAGACGCCACAGGAGCGTAAAAATAATTTTTAATGACAGAAGTTTTTCTCTTTGACACTTTTTGCCAAGCGGCTCTTAACTGTTAAATGTCATGCCAGCATGTGAATATAAACAAATGCTAGTGCTTATTCGACGAAGAAATTCTATTTAAATTGATTATTTTTGTTTCGAGTAAATGAAAATTTGGTACTGGGTAGAACTGTATTACCTTTATTTTTGTCGAGAAACTTGATGCTGGGAATATTTAAGAGGGATTTAGAGCTAAGAATGTCTATAAAGACAGCTTTTTTGAGAAAGCTACTTAATGAGGAACACTTTGTTGTGGCATTTAACTTCAAGGTTAAAATTGGTTAAAATGTTTCAATTGTTTTGGTTCTTGAATATCAATTTGATTGATATTCCATGAAATTTGCGTCATATAATGTGAAGTAAGCGTTAAACTACGTGAAGTTAGCGTCATAAAGCGTTAATATAACGTTAATTATCTTGAAGTAGACTCCATTCATAGAGTGCAAAATCAATTTGAGTCAAACTAAGTTGAATCAACTTCGAGTTTAATAATATCATACTGTGGCAATGTCGAAAATGACCGTTACTTTTTATTTGAAAAAAAAAATACCGTTAAAAATTTAAATTCTAAAAAACCGTTAAAATACTAATGCTAAAATAAACTTTGAAAATCTAAAGTAAAATCACGAATTAGACATGTTTTAACAATTTTGTATATTTTTAAAATTTTATTTGATTCATTTTGTTATAACAGAAAATCTAAGAGAATTTTGATGCGAATTTTTGCTTCTTATGGACAAATCTTACTTCGTGTGATAATTTTAATCTTAAAGTTATAAATTTTTGACGAAAATCATCAAATATGTTTTCAAATACTTTAAAATATCAAAATTGATTAAATTATGACTGAAATTTTTATTTGTTTACTTTTATTTTTTGATTTTTTTCAACGGTCAAAAAAAATTTAAAATTTCGACTTTCCTTCGACATTTTTAAATCCTTCGACACTGAGTGTCGAAGGAATTCGACACTCAGGTTGCCACAGTATGAATAATATTAAACAAATATTAAGGTTTAAAGGAAAATTACCTTAAATTAGACCAAATTTCGTTGCATCTAATCATTTGTCGCTCTCAACATTCCACAAAGCTAAAAGTCACATCAAAAACAGACAGAACAAAAATATTAACAAAACAAATTAGAGAAAATTAAAGAAAATCTCTCCGTACCTCCTCAAAAATATGAGAATAGACAGTTACAAAGATAAATATAAAGAATTTTTCTACTAAGCAGATAAAATAAGTGTGTCCTTACAACTTCTAGTATCTCCCATTTCCTTCTAATCTGCAGAAAATAGCAAAAGTCTCATAATGAATTACTTCCAGAAGAATTTTGTTTTCCTACCAAAAGAATCTGATTGAACAGACAAAAAAAACTAAAACTAAAGTAAAAAGTTCGAAGGACGAAGTGTATCTCAGATAGTTTTGTAGGTCTCTTGGTCAATTAATAATTTTCAATGTATAAAGCCATTAAAGTAACAGGAAATTAATTGTTTGAGAAAAAGTTACGACTAGAAACTTTTTAAATTATCGAATGTTTTGACTCAAACTAGATTCATTCACAAAACAGTTTGTTGTTTTTGTGTGTCAGAAAATTAGATTTTATAGCATGAGTAGATGATGAGGAAAATCGATAGAAATGTAGAGGAACACACAAAAAGCATTGAACTTGAAGGATTTTATAGTGTAAAGGACCATTTAGTGTCGTATATCCGAAATAATAGAGCAGATTTCATAATACACGTGTGAATATATTAACCTCTACATCGACGCTTAGTTCTATGTTTAGAACTATAAAATTAGCATGAATTTTCCAGTTGGATGGAAAAATCTCAATCACGTTTAAGTTATGCTTATATGCTGGATCTTCTTGATGAAAAAGTTTTTAAATTATCTCATAAAGTTGACACTGCAGCGACCTTTTGAGATTCTAAAGATTATCACGCACAACTCGGAACCTTTTCTTCAGATTTTGAGACCTGAAAGTCTGCATCTCTAATCTTTTCTTGCGAACAACTCTTAAATTATGTCATAAAAGTAAAAATATTTTGATTTCATTGCGGAGAAAATAAAATATTGCACGAGTCTCATTTATTTCACAAAATCTGAATAAAATCAGTAATTTTTTTGAATTATTGCACAACAAAAGTTAGCAAGAAGCTTATGATTTAACGACTTACTAGAAAGTTATTCCAGTAATTAATTTTATTACTTCCTACATTAATTTGTTACTGTCGAGTTGTGATTGATTTGTTCGATTTGCTTGGGGATTTTTTGAATTTCTTTTTCTTGTGAATATTTGAATTAGGTGTTTTATGCTCTCTTGTATTTGGAGCTATGACTGAATTTCTGATCATCTTCCTTAAGCTGCATATCAATTGAATTTCTTTAATTTTCCACCAACTTCTAAACTTTCGTAATTCCTCCTAATATTGCTCATCCTGATAAAAACCTCGAAAGCAAACTTTAAATACCAACATCCAACATTAATCCACTGATAAAACAAATCAAACCCTTATCCAAAACCTTAAAAAGAGCATTTAAAACTTTCCAAGTTCGGATTTTCGTCTCAAACCGCATCATCGTAAAAAGTCAGTAAAAAGATTTCTTTTTATCTCTCGAAAAAGGTAAAGTCAAAACTTTTTCCCGACATGAAATCATCTCAGCGTGTGTAGATTTGAAGCCACCCACATTTTAAGGTAGTCTTAACAAATTAATTATTTTTTTTTTGCAAATTTTTATTGTTGTCGACAAGAAGATGAAGATTAAAGAAGAGGTCATAACAATTAATTGAGTTAAATTAAAATTTAAAATTTTTTTGTTTATGGATCTACGAATGTCGTCATCGCATGTGAGGAAAATAAAAAGTAGCAAGTTTTTTTCACACGAGAAAAAAAAGTTCACACGAGACCAATGTTGTTGAAAAGTCAAAAGTAGATTATTATAAGAAAAACAGCTGCTTGGACATTAAATGTTGCGTGGATTTATTGAGAAATTGAGTGAAAAATCACAAGGCGAAAAAAAAGATCATCAAGAAGTGCCGTGTGCAAAAAAAAAAAAACTGCTTAACAAGCACGAATGAAAAATTAAGATTTTTTGAGTGGAAAATTGATATGCTGTGTGACATAGACATACTTTTTTGATGAGATCTTGTAGATATCACATCCAATAACATCAATTGAAACTTCTAATTGAACAATATTGGCACATTAGTGCTCGAACATTTCACAGACTTCTTTCGCAATTAAAAACTCATAAATTACCAAGTAATGAGGCAATGGCCTGATGAATTATGTCACTCAACAATAATCGCTTTTGAACATTTGTTCTACATTTCCATCCCAAATGTATGCTATTCTTTTTCGGCTAAGTTTGTTTGCGAGTTTATTTGAAAACAGATTTCATCATTTAGTTTTTTTTTGTTCCTCGAAAGAAATTTTTTAAACATGAAAAAAAAAATCTTTTTTGCTGTTTTTTCTTTCTTCTTGATAATTTGTGGTTGTTCACACTGCACCACTGTTTTTTCCGCTCCTACAAAGTACACATCTTTTCTTCTTAATGACGAAATCGGTCGTAGACAGAACGTGTACTTTTAGCTGAACATAAAAAAAATTGAGGAAAATATTATAAAATATAGTAGAAAATGAGGGAAGTAAGGACGTCCACTTGTTGAGAATGGGGGTTGGTTGAAAGCGCACTTTCTGAGACGTATGATCCAGAAATACTCAGTTTTTTGTTTAAAGAGATTAAGTCGAAACTAAGGATGTGTCATGTGTCACTTAAGGGTTGGTATCTAGGGCTATTACGGCACGTACCCTAGTTATAGTAAACCCTAGAAACTAGTTTCTGGTGTCAAAACAGAGATGAATCTAATGCATTGTGCAATATGCAGACAAATCTGTCATAGTGAGAATAAACATGTGTTACCGAGTGTTTAGACATCAGACCACTATCTATTATAAGGATGAAGGTTCGGTTCTCACCAGAGGTTGAACTTTTAATTGTTTAATAGAACAGTACTTTATAAGCAAGCTTTGTGATGCACTAGTATGCAATTTAGTGTCACCAATATCTTTAGATACGTCTTTAAGTTACACTTGATAAAAAGCAAGGTATGTCACGTGTTTAAGCAACACTGAGTGATGTCGAAACAACAAGAATTTGCACAATGGGGTTAACATGATAGGTTCAATTCCTATAAATTGATAATTATTTGCATTTCCCTTAATTTTAGTTTACAAACTTGAAAATTCACAAAAACCTGCAAAAATCATTTAAAAAGTCATAAACTTTTATAAATTTCTCTGACTAATTCAGTCTGATCTCATCCAATTAATTTTTGATTACTTCCAAGAAGTTCTTAATCCAAACTATCCATAACAAGAAAAACTGATCAGTACACAAAACATAATCAATTTTCCTGAACGAAACCTGAGTCAAAATCCCAAAAAAAGATTTACGACCAAGATTTGTGTTTCATAAATGAAGGCAGAGCAAAATTAAAATTTTCCCACCATACCGTTAGTTTTTCCTCAATAAGAAAAAGCCGATTTTTCTCTTCCAACATTTTATTTTAAAAAGAAGGAAAATTAAAAAAAAAATCGCGCGCGAAGAGAAGATGAAACTTCGTGCACATTAATACATGTTCCATGGACAATCACAATAATAAGTAAAAATTCGGAATGAGCACGAAGCTCGAAAAGGGAGTAAAAAAGAAAAGAAAATCATTTTCATCTTGCTTTATAGAATGAAAAAATATACACAAAAAAAATAACAGAAAGAAAATTTCTCGCACGAGACGCTTTTTTTCCGTTACGAGAGTTTTTCATTAAATTTCCATTCACAATTTTACATCGCTTCAGTCAATTGCGGGAAGTTGAACTTGTCGGTTCAGGAAGAAACCAATCGTAAGGAAGCAAATAAAAAAATAATCGAAAATGACTGACGTTGAAGTCGTACAATCGATTGATCTTAAGAAGACTAAAAAGTCTAAGAAAACAAAGAAGGAAGTTAATATCGAGGAAATCGAGAGTGAAATTCAGAATGATCAGAAGTAAGGATCAATGTCCTTTTTATTGATGGGCAATCGTCGAAAATCGAGCAGGCAATAAGAAACTTTCCACTGTCCATGGATTAATGCAGTAAAGTTTATTGAGTGTCAAGTGTCCATAAAAAAATATATTCCAGGATATATAAGGTTGCATGTAATAAATTTAAGTGACAACAAATAAATAATAAAAATCGGAACATCCAAGGATAATATTCAATAATGCCGCAAATCTTGGCAGGCAACAACTTGTCTATCGGTTCATTGCTTTCTTTCCTGCTCGACTTCAACGAGATCATCAATAATAAGAATGGATTTCTTTTACTTCTGATCATTCCGTATGTTAATTAAAGGTTCGTTGAATTACAAATTTGGAATCATGATCTCATCCTTAAAAGGCCTTGAGTGGATTCAGAATCAATCAGCATTTATTTTTTATTTTGCAATGCTACAAAAATGGGGAAATGATAATTTTTCTCTATGTCTGTCCATATTTTTGTATTCATTGTCGAATAATGTCTTGTTCTGAAAAATTAATGGATATGCGATTTTATGAAGATTCTTAAAAATTGTGCCTCATAAATTTCATATTTTTTTATACTCGAGTAAGAAATTAATGACATTTTTATATTAATTCAAGCATCTCATTTTCTTGTGCCCAACTCTCATTACAATTTCTTCCGCTTTATGCATCTCATCACGGCATCAACCATAACGTTAATTAATTATTTTCCCATCTTTTTTTTTTGTCTTACAGTTAATTTTCAGTGGCGAATATACAAAGGCAATGTCAAAGGACTGGCATTCTGGTCATTTCTGTTGCTGGAACTGCGATGAGAGCTTGACTGGTCAACGTTACGTTCTCAGAGATGAACATCCATACTGTATCAAGTGCTATGAAAGTGTATTTGCAAACACTTGTGAGGAATGTAGTACACTCATTGGAATTGATTCCAAGGTAAGATTTTTTATTGCTATTTTTATGGATCTTTATTGAATGTTGCATCCTCAATCAAAATTGAATTTCAATGGATTTTATTTTTAACATCCAGCATTGAAAGTTGCACATAAAATCCATTATTTTACAGACAATAAGCTTTAACCCTAATTTTAATGCAATTCTTTACAGGATTTGAGCTACAAAGACAAGCATTGGCATGAAGCATGCTTTTTGTGCAATATGTGCCGTGTTTCACTTGTTGACAAGCAATTTGGATCAAAAACTGATAAGATCTACTGTGGAAACTGCTACGATTCCCAATTTGCATCAAGGTGCGATGGATGCGGTGAAGTGTTCCGTGCTGGTGAGTAATTAACAAATTTAGAATGGGATTTGGGAAAAGTTTAATTAAAATTCGGATGGAAATGAGTATCAGTAAATTTCCAATTTTAAGTATCTCGTCCTACATTGTATGAAGCAACCACAAAACTGTGCCAAGCTATTTGAAAATTTCCTCAAAAATATAATTTCTAGTCATTTCTCTCACCAAACGATTTGTCTTACGTGAACCGAACATAATTAATATCTACATACGTAGCACGTCAAAGTAGACGTCTGTTTTCAATGCCCTCAAAAAATTAAAAATCAGATAATAAATTCGAATTGAGAAATACTCATTTTTAAGGAAGGATCAAAGAGAAAATTATCATACAATATGATCATAAATTCACTGAGCCTCTTCCTCAATATTGTGACTGCCATTCATTTATTATTAATTTTAAACTAATTCATTTACAAATATTTGGATATTAGCACTGAAGCTACACAAAAAAAACACACAAAGAATATGCGAGAATAGAGCGAGTTGATTTGATTTAGTTTGAAAGGATAAATATTTACAGAATGTCAATGCTTTTGTAGTGTCAGAGAAATTGAAAGGAATTGATTTGATGGAATCGATTTAGTTCTATTCAGTCTGTTAGAAATTGTGCATAAAAAGCTATTTTTATGTTTTGACTGGCGTTGCTTTATCTTCTTGAGGTCGATGAAATGTTACGTGCCTGCTTTGGGTTCTAGCGATTTAAGGAGGGAACAATATGATAAGAACTTTCTAAAGGGGCCGTTCACTTATTACGTTCACATTTTAGGGGGGAGGGGGGGTTTGAAAAATTGTAACAAAATGTAACATAGGGGGGTGGGGGGGGGGGGGGGGGTCAAGAAGTATGTAACGTTCTAACTGTCGTCTGTCTTTTAAAAAAAAAGTTCACGAAAATAATTTGAATTATGAACGTTCAGGGGGGGGGGGTATGTGAGTTGTAACATGTTGTAACAAGGGGGGAGGGGGGTGAAAAAAAGTCGGTTTTTTGCGTAACGTAATAAGTGAACGGTCCCAAAGTAATTTGATTGGAAATCTTTGTAGATTTACAATCATGGTGAATTTCCATAATGGTGGGTTTACATCGAGGTGGGTTTCCATTGAGGTGGGTTAACATCGAGGTAGATTTACATTGGGGTGGTTTGCACTGAGGTGGGTTTACATCGTGGTGGGTTTACACTGAGGTGGGTTTACATCATGGTGAGTTTACATTGTGGTGAGTTTACACTAAGGTGGGTTTACATCATGTAGTTTTCCCATTGATAAAACCCTTGGAATCAATGCTGATTTTTTAAATATTCTGAACAAGATTAAAATGATGCAGTACAATATCCTGCATAATTTTAGTATCCCCCAAGATTTTACGCGTACTTTAAATTCACAGTCAGCAGAATAAAAATAAATTGAATAGTTTTTCATCTTTAATGGTTGTTTCTGGATGTATAGCCTTATTGCTTAAACACATGGCACTTTTATGATAGTTTTATGGAAAGCAGTAATGTATTTAGCTATCATATGGTGTCCCGTAATGGATTTCCTATCATGTGGAACAAAGATTATTGAAGAAGGTTGAATATTATTTTAAGGAAATCAGTTTTGAATGACTTCATGCTGATTTTCTGGCATGACAGAATAGAAAATTAGATTGGATAGGATAAACTTAATCTGCCGTAGTCAATTAATAGCAATATCAAGGAGGCGGAAGTTTCAGAATTTTTTGACACATTTCACAAAAATGTTCATGATCAAATTTACTCAAATGACCTGAAATTATAAAAATATCTAAAAAATTGGACATGCTATTTCAAAAACAGTTATTGAAGCGATAAAATTTTGATGTATGTACTTAGCAGATGCATGAAGACATTGATTTTTTTCCCGAATATTGCTGTCTGTTTATCAATTTCCATTATTTAATTACAAATTACTTAAGGACTTGCTCCATTTAAAAGCAATTAATTTCAACACTTGTTAATTAAATTGTAAAAAAAATTGCAAACCATTCATCCATCCAGATCTGTCATAAATGAAAATAATCCTCTGAGTACATCTGCAAAACTGCGCTAAAAATTGACTTCCCAAAAAGAAAAAAAACTTTGGAATTGTGCCAAAAATTTCATTTCTTCGCTATTCTCATCTCCACTGTTTGTTTGATGATGTATATTCTTTAGAAAAACTAGTAATAATAATAATAAGCTAAAGGAATTGCTTTTATGAAAGAGATGGCTCTTCGTTCTTTTTTTTTGTCTGATTCCAAAAGTTAATATCTCCCTCGTACTTATCTTGTGTTGGCGTTATTCCCAGAAAGTAGTAGCAACTTGTATAACTTGTGTATGACCTTCTCTTCATTTCCATTATTCGTGTAGTTTTGCTGGTCATTAATTAATTTTATTTCTACACTCAATTGGATTTCTGGCATGACTGAAAAGTTCCTTTAAAATTATTATCACCGTTAAGTTCTATGACTTTGATGTCATGCAATGGAAGCAACAAGTTTGTAATGATTATAAAGCAAAAAGTATGAAGGTGTAATGTTGTTGTTGATGCGGCTTCCATCGTGTTTTGCATGCCCTCACATAAAAATTGTTGATTACAGATGTAATGAATATTCAATTTACAGCATTTTCTCATTCATATACATGGAAAGCTTTCACATTGACTTTGCATTTTGTTATATCGTAAATATAAATTGTAGCTTGGGTTTTTGAAAAATGAGTAGGGAAGTTTGGGCAGATTTTCTGTTTTCTTGTTTGGAGTTCAAGCGTTTGATGAAGCCTCTAAACCAGAAACCTATCATTTTAAGATAGTTCTGACCTATTCTCACTATTTGATGTCTAAACTCTAACTGTAGAGCGATTAAAGCTTACTGAATTGCCTTGTCGAATAAATGCTCTTCAAAACATGATGATAATGCTCAACTCCTTCCAGTTTTCTGTTAGCACATCTCTCAATCTTGAAAAACCTAATACATCAATTGTAGTTCATAGCCTCTCTTAGATAATGCACAAATCAAGCTCTATATCTTACTAAAGCTTGCCAATTCACAAGGACTAATTGCACTACTGTCGAACTATCAACAGCTTCAATCTAAAATTTAGATCCAAAAATCAATAAAATCGACCTTCACTTTAATGGCATCAATACAGCCCAACCTTCCACACTCATTCAAAAACCCTCCCGTAAATCACATTACCAAAAATATTCAATTCTATTTTCGTCTATTATCACTTACTTCACAAATAATAACGATGATTATTTTTACATCTTGTCTTATGATCTGAGGGGAAATTGTTTTGTTCGAATTGATTTTCCATGAAGTGATAGCATGTAGCAGAATTGAATGATAGCTATAATTATGTAAAAGATGTAGATATATGTGGGTCTACCATAAATTCTATCCACCATGCTCTCCATGAAATGACAGATAAGAGTCTTTTTACTACACAATCTTCGTTCTTTCTTTCTGTAAAGTTTCGTTCTGGATGTAATGCGAATCTAGCGATATCTCATAAAAATAAAGCATTCCTCATTATTCTCTCTTTTTTTTCTGCTGATTTTTCTTCTTTCATTCATTTTTTTATCTACCGGTTTTCTTATATTTCATTACCAAATGCTATGCGTTAATCATACCCGAAAAGAACCAGTAAAACAAATCATCTTTACACCCACAACCTTTGTCGAAATTTTTCATTCTGTTCTTACTTCAAGTCTCACTTCTTTTCACATTCACATGACTTCTTTAAAGTTTATCGTTTGAATGAAAAAAATAGATATTTGAACGTGAACAGATTGAAGAATGTGGCTGAATGGATTGGCAGATCAGATAGATAGCAGTCCATAAATCATGTTTAGGCTAAGCTCAAATCCCAAAAGATTTCCTTTATAAATAAAAAGATTCTGAAGACAAATTGAGAAACTAAAAAATTCTTACACGCGACAATGAAGCTCCATAGACAAGCATCAAAAAAAGAACTCATCTTATTCATCCAGTCCTCTTTATCAACGTCATTGTATTGCGCTGAATGTAATTTTCTTGATTTATATACAGTTTTGCTATTTTAAGAACCCGTTGTGCATCATTACAATGCTCGGATTATTTTAAACACAAAAATTGTTATTGCTATTAATTCATTCTGACGATTGGATTGGAGATGATCGATTTAACAGCTGGCCAACGCATTTGTTCAGCACAGTGTGAGGAAAATTATTTTTTTCGTGGATTTTTGCAGAGAATTTGAGTCATTTTGTCGATTATTATTGTGAGATAGTGAATTTGGGGTCGGTTTCTGGTGCTACCTTATCTCTGAACTCTAGGAAATAAGGTCTGTCGATTTATGATTCAAAGGTTTGAAGCTTCGGGATGTCATAGATACCGATTCATTAGGTTTGATGAATTCTAGACTGAGCCATTATATCGTGTGTACCTCATTATATAGCTATGGTATCTCCCAGACTACTCAAGAAACATGGTACTGGATTTTAAGTTCTGGATTACTGCTTGTAGATATGGCTCGAAGAGCATATCTGTAGTAGATAGGCCTGAACATTGGGTTCGCGTTGAAACCAGAGTTGATATCTTGCCTTTGACTTTGAAAAAGGCAAATCTTTCAAAGGCAATGCAAAGGCAAGGTTTCAAAAAAAATCTTTTGTCAAAGGCACTTGAAAGGCAAAGTTTACTGGTTTTTACCTTTGCAAAGGCAAGTTTTAAGGCAAAGGCAATTTTTTTGCCTTTTCAAAGGTAAAGTCAAAGGCAAAGGCAGTGTCTTGCAAAGGCAACTAAAAAGGCTTGTGCCTTTTTTGTGCCTTTGCAAAAGGCAAAATCTTGCAAAGTCAAAGGCAATGCCTTTGTCAAAGGCAAATCCGTATCAACTCTGGTTGAAACTGGTTATAAGTGTAAAACGGATAGCCGAAATGAGATAAGTACCTGGGTGGCCGAGTTGCAAGGATCTCTGATCGAGTAGTCAGACCTCTTTTGAGGTCGTGGGCTC